CCCCCAATGTTACACTGGACCTGGAAAGCAAAGGCTCGCTCTGCACTTGGAAAGAGCAGTAAGAATGTTTGTAAACTTGCATTTGTCTCTCGATTTGGTTGAAACTGCAGTTCAGGAAGAATAAGACGATGCTGGAAAGGTCGCAGTCTGATCAGCACCTGGCGAGGAAAAGCAGCTCTCAGGAACCCATTAGAATTCTGTGAACGCATCGATAAAGAGAACTGAAAGAAAATAAAGTTTCTTGCTAAGAGTTCACTCACGCTTACAGAGATTTTCAACAAAAGGCTTCTAAAAATTATTTGGCTATTGTTTATGAAACAAAGAACTGGCATAACTCTGATGCTGGATGGGACAGAAGGCAAAGAGGAGAATGAAATGGTAATCAGGCAAGAAATCAGCAAAACTTCTGCAAGGCCACTTACTAAGTAGGGAGCGTTTTGCTGCTTAGTGATAGACTGGAAGGCAGGAAACAGCGAAATATCGAATATTTAGTTACGATCAGAGAGAATTGTGTGGACACTCAGAGAAATAGGATCCAGAGAACAAAAGATCAAAAATATGAAGTAAAACATCAAAAATGGAGTAAGTAAATTTTTGGAGGGAAAAAACCCAAGATACTCATAGAACGCGTCATCACCTACATGAACTGTGTCACCTCAGGAAAGGGCTCCGTTACGGGTGACAGGTATACGAAAACGCCCAGCAAGATGATGCACTGTGCAAAGATGGAAAGATGACATAGCTAAAATTCTTCCAGCGTATCCATGTTGACTGTCTCACATACTGCACTGCAGATCACACAACATCAACAAAATTTCATAGGATTCAGGACAGTAAAGAAAATGGTTAAGGACACAATAAAAACTAGGGATGCTGAGAGATTTGATACTATTCTCAAAGGAAGGACCGTGAGTGAAGCATACAAGATGAAATGATGTAGCTTCGTGTTTGGGCGCCCCGTTTCTGCGGGGAAAGCACCGTGCCCGCAGCCGCCGGGCCGCTGTCGTCACCCTGAGGCGCAGCAGAGCCATTGGCCTTGCTCTTAGCGAACCAGGTACGTTCCCAGTCCACCACCGCTGCAAACAGCCCTCGGCCGGACAAACGCTGTGCCCTGTCCTTGTACAGCTAATCCTTGCTCGTAGATGTTAAACATGAAGAAAACATAAGTTCGGTTTAACATTTAAAACCCAGGCAGAGAAACAGATTGACTGTTACTGGGGTTTTGAGACATTTGAATAGCACGAACACAAACCACATCCTCTTTGAAGCCTATTCACTGCTGAAACTACAAGTTCTGCGTGAAGTAGAAAGCCAAACGAAGCCAAATACAGGCTGCTCTTCTCCAGCCTCATATTCTATTCACATTTTCATTTTTATGCTGTCTTTGAACGAAGAAAACTCATCTTTTCAAACCAGGAATAGCAGCACAGGCTAAAACCCCCACCTGGGAAGCAGCTCACCCCCGGAGCAGATACAATAAAGCCGCACGTCCTCTGACTGTGCAAAAGCCCTCGGTGCCACAACGGCTGCTGTGTTGGACTGACAGCTGTAACCACAACAGATTCTCAAGAACAAACAGGAGAACTTGAGAAAGCCGAGTCGCAGCTGCTTGAGCTCAGCTGAGGGCCCCCAAAGCCAAGGGGGGACGGACGGGCGGACGAACCTGTGAGAATACACCCCTGGCTCCCTGGGCCCAAAAGCTCTCAGAAAGGTTACAGCCTTTTAAGAACTTTGCACGCAGCCCAGCGGAGGTGTAACACAAAGTCGCGCACGTGTAGAGAAATATTCAGACTCCCATAAGGACGGGGCTTGACAAGCTGAGTTTGTTTCCTTGAGATTTAAACAGAATTTCCACAAAGTTAGTTCTGTCTTCACTTCAGGCTTTCTTGTAATTTGAAAAATATGGGGAGCTGAGATTATACCTCTTGATACCCTTGAATCCTAAGAGCACTTTTGGAGGAGAGCTGCAAAAATAACTACAGAATGCAAAGCGACACCCGGGAAAGCGCTGCATCCAGTAAGCCGCTCCGATTTTAAAATACTCGATGAGTTGCTTTGTGCTGTTTCGATGTGAAAAAGGATTTCGTTGATCAGCTAAAGGTTAGGGAAGACTGTGGGCCAGTATCTGACAGAAACGAATTTCAGTCAATTTTGTAAATTAGGAACAGTAAACAGAATCCCCTCGTCCCACAGAGGCATACGAGAGATGGGATGGGGACGTCACCTTGACAGTAAGTCATAAGGACAGAAACGGGACTAAAGGGCAGTGACAAAAAACCTCAGGTATCTGAGAGCGCTGCCTCAGAGAAGCAATTAAACAAATGCATCCAGTGCCGGGATAGCTCCAAAGCGAACAGCTCTGCACACGTGGCCCGAAGTCGCTGCGCCAGTGGTGCGTTCACGAGGTTTCATTGCCTCCCGCGCTTGGTTTGGCTGGGAGAGGAGTTTGCCAGGTGAGATCTTAACAGTTCTCTAAGATTAAAGTAGATGAGATAAAGTGGAAGGTGTGTCAGCCAAACCTCACGAACCCCGATTTGTTAGGTAAACTACGAATGGATCCAACATAGTCCCATGCTCCAGCTGCAAGATTAAACACCGGGGGAAGATCCGTCTGCAGTCAATTCCAGCTGTAATTTGTGGAACAGAGACTCCTTCACACTTCAGACTTCTTACCTGAAACGCCATTGACACAAGAGCATTTCTTCTAAGAAACGAAATTATAACGGGAACTTGAATTATGTTAAAGATCAATTAAATCAGAAATTTCAGGGTGACAAGATCTGATGACATTTTAAAAGGTAGTGGGTTCCCTTAAGATTTGCAAACCCTAAACCATTGGTCAATCAATTCTCTTACATACATTTATAAAGAAACTGTGCTAACAGCAGCAAAGACAAGTAGTAAGATTTATTTAACAATAATTTATTGAAGAAG